CAGGTTTGGCTCTACTGCTCAAACAGCTCCTTTGCCGGCGAGCTCTAAAGCTGCACGGTTTTTACATTCAGGCTCTTATCAAAGGTGGTTTTCCCCTCCCGGATGACACAGTGATAACTTGCTGCAGCCGTGCCAAGGGCAGCAACGGCCGCGGCGCAGCGGAGAGTGTGTTTGAAGTCCCGAGCCCAGCCACCACCGGCCAACAGAACAGGCCTGGACCATCAAGAGAATGGCCAGCCTGAAGAGGAGGAGGTGAAGAAAAATCTCCAGTGTGTGGAGTTTGTCAGAGTTTCAAATGTGTGAATGTCCTTAAATAACCCACATCGCCCAGAGAAATAAGCCAACTGTCACACCCAGTTCTGGATTCCACATTAACAACCTCCTTCCGCAGCGTTAAACTTTGCCCTTGAGGACTTTTGTTTAACTTTTTAATTTGAAAAGCAGATAGGGCCACTTTACAAGCTTCACTTTTTTGCGCGAACTGAAAGGCCTCATTGTTAGCGCAGGGGATGTGCAGGTAGAGGTAAATTTAACAAGTTTTTGTTTGATCGTCTTTCCGTTTGAAAATGTGTGAGCTGCAATCACAGTGAGGCTCAGGAGCCGGGGATAAAGTGCATCGTGCAGGAAGGCTGCTGAAGAAGATTCTTATAAACAATGGGCCTGTTTCGGCGCTCCTGACGCAGGCAGAAACCGTACCGAAGTCAATGAGGCACTTTCAGCTTTCCTCTTTTTAAATATCCTGAATCACGGAGTGTTTCCTTGCTGTTCTGCCAATACAAAGGACCCGATTGTCAGAAGTTGCTGAAGGATTTTTGTGTGTCTGTGCTATCTTCAGAACAGCATAAGAAACAAATAGACTCCGCTATCAAAGACACGTAATTGCCATTTCAGACTTCCTGTTTAGGATTCAGTCAAGTAGATATTGTTTATGGTTCATAAAACCTTACTACTGTGAGGATTCTCAGATAGTGGCAGCGTAGACTTTCAACTTTCATGGTGCTGTAAATTAGGGGGAAAAAAAAAAAAAAGTGTGATAATACTCCTCCGAGAACAGTAAAATAGAGCTCTGCAATGGTTAAATGGAATTTTATAAGCACATTCGGTGTGGAACTGTTTTGCATTACATGAGTTGAATACCTTAGAGATGACACACATCTGCAGGCACTTTATTAAATCCTTAGTCAGCACTTTTCAACCTGATGAGATTACTTCTTCATTTGACTGGAGAAAGGGAAGCGACGATCTCGTGCCGGACTGCAGAATTCTTTCTGATGTTTCACCTTGAGTGCTGGGAAGGACGCAGGATGCTCCGCAGGACGGTGCGCACCCGCACCGAGAGGCAACCTCAGCTCCAGCGCATTCACTGAGCTCTGAACTCACAGGTAGAACAGTACCGCAAAGTAAATAGAGAGGAAATAAAACACCGTCTCTTTTATGAGAATGCCAGGAGATCGTATCATCCTGACTGTGTTGCGATAGCGCACATGATTTAAATGGAGATTTTAAATTAAGAAAGGCAATACGCTGTTCTCTGGCTGGGTGCAGACGGATAGATTACAGAACGTGAAGGGGATGGGCGGGAGAGCCCCGCTCGCACCCACAAGAAGGCAAAAAAGAAGGCAGCGATCCCAGTGTACAGAGCTGGGCTGTGTTCCTCCCCCAGGGCCCCTCGCCGTGCACGCTTCTCAGAGCCCCGTGCTTCGTGCACTTTCCGGGCGTCCTATGGAGGCAGCGAGGTCCCTCTCCCCTCACGGGAAAGTTTCACAGGTGCTTCAAAGGGACAATGGAGCTCTTCAGACCTAATCCGGGAAGACTTAGACGTGTATAGGAGGCTTGAGGGGGATATGAGATCTTAATATTAAAATGATTAGTCGAAAAGGAGGATCATTCTGCGTGTGCGTTTCAGCTGTGAGACGCTCTAAATTAAAACGGTATCCTGAGAGCAGTGCCGGTGGGATCTGATGAGTAAATGCACTCTCTGTCTTGCTGTTCTGCTGCCTCAGCCCATAAAACATTTCATCAAAGCCGGGCTGCGGGAACAGCCAGCGCGGTGCAGCTGTTTGCGAGGGACCTGGAGTTTGGCTCCTTTAAAAGCAGCTTTTCAGTAAAGTCGGTGTGGAGCCCCTGCACAGAAGTTTAAAAAATATCCATGCAGTTGGGTTTGATCCCGTAAGGGTTAATTAAGTTTTGCATCGGCATTAAGGCCGAGCGGTGTCTGCAGGAGTCATATTGACACCCCGGTGCATGGTAACTCTACTCCTTTATTGACATGTTGCTAGTCAAGAGCACAATAGCACTCTGTGTCTGCAAATCATTGCTAAAATCATCTCGAGAAAAAAAAAAGTTTGAAAGCCTAACGCGAGACAAAGGCCCCAGAGCTGCACTGCGCAGCGAAAAACTCTGGAGTCAGCAACTTCTATTGATTAAAAACTAACCTTTAAAGTAACTCTCCGAGTGTGTGGTTAGCATTTAAATTTAAACATGTCATGAGTTGATTTGTGTTACTGAATACCGACTCAGAAGGAGTTACATTCACATCAGATTTTTTTTTTTCTAATTCCCTTAAGCAGCTAAAGTATTTCATGAAATGTCAATAGGGCAGGGGAGGAAAAAAAAGGTGTTTTGGAGGGAGGGGACTCGCGCGGGGCCGCGCCGTTTCTTTTCCCATGCAAATAGTCACCCCAAAAAGAAAAGTGTGGGGAGCGAAACACAATAATTAGGCCTTTGTCTAACTTTCCCAAGTGCCAGAGAAAGACAGATTAATTAAATATACAACAGTGTTGGTTTTTGGAGTGGGGGTCTCTCTCGCTGTGTAGGTCATAAATTAGGCAGAATAAATACTTCAATGTGTGTGCAGCGGGGCTGCTACGTCAGAGCGGCTGGCGGGCGGTGGGAGGGCGCAGCGCGGCTCTTGCTAATGATAGTCACGTCTGGGGCTGTCTGGTTGCTGCTAGCAACGAGACATGATGTAACACCAGGATGAACTTGAACTTGGGGGACTTGAAAAGGGAACAATAGACCAGAGCAATCAATAAAGCCTATTTCAGTGAAGGATTACAGAGCCGCTCTGGGGTAACCTTGTCTGCGAGGCGCAGGCTGAATAGCAAGATGCGTGAAGGAGCGCCGGGCCGTGGGGGAGCGCGGCCGCGCGGGACGGACGGACGGACGGAGGCACGCAGCCCCTGTCGGCAGTGCTCGGCCCAGCGGAGAGGCGATGGGCGCGCGGCCCAGCACCAGGCCTGCACACAGCACACGCTCCTGCCTCACTGCCTGCTCTCTCTTTCTGAAACCCGTGCTGGAGTCAGGGGGACCTGCGAGGCCAGCGCGGCTCCCGCTGCCGTCACCCGGCTGCCGAGCCATGTGGCCCGGCCAGCGGCAACGGGAGCCAATTGGACATCTGCGATATAGATTTGAATGATCGGCTCTGAATTTTAACCCCTTTACTCCCTGCTGGGCCCTTCTCGCGGCTCCTGGCCTGGCCAGAGACGGTCACGCTCAAGTGCCGATCACGAGAGGCGCTCCCTCGAATGGGGGATTGCTGGCGGCCCTCGGCACCGGGCAGCCCGGAGCGCGGAGCGGGACTTGGCACCGCCTCGTAACTCCTGCAGGAACTTCGCTCTGTTTATGAACTTTACATATGAGAACTATTTCGCTTAATTACAGCCTGCTTAAGTCTAAATAGAAAATCTGTAGGCAATAGATGGAGGCGATATGAGAACGGCGTGTTTGTGTTCAGAAGGGCGAGCGAAGGAAGAGTTCGTTAATGAGGTGTATTGGACGCGGGACAACTTCTGCGACCGTGCTATTTATTTTACTGGTTCTACCTCCATGGCAAGACCACATAATCTCAAAGTATCACATGAAACTTGCCTCAGAGTCTTCTGTAAATGTTAATAAATCCTCTCTGGGTTGATTATACTATCAATCAAATCAGACACTGAAAAGGAACAGAGAAAAAAGTTGGTAAAACTTGTCGTCAGTTTGTACGTGCGCACAGACGCACCTCATATATTACGGCAGCCAGAGAAAAACGCGGGGTATCAGCAGCAGCTCTCTAATACCTGGATCTCTCTGGCTGCATTATTTTACTTCAGCCTAAATAGCCGCTGCCTGTTGGTGTACTCCTGCAGCAATATGTCAGTGCCAAGTGGCATCTCCCTGCACGTCCCGGGCCTAACAGTGCCTGCATTCATCGGGGCTTGGCCTGCCCCAAGGGCCCAGCCAGGCTGCCCACCCTATGGCTTCTGCCCCAAACTCCGGCCCCGGCGGTCCTCCTGCTGGGAGCAGAACCACTCCTGTGCTCAGGGCATCTGTGCCGGTGGGGTATGGACAGCACTGTGTGCTCTGCAGAGCTGAAATACCAGGGAATTTCTTCCCCAAACGAAGATTCTTTCCCCAAAGAACAGCTACTTGTTGAAGTTCACGTTTTGTTTTCAAGCACGAGTAAGCCCAGAGATATGGGACGTTTTCGCTGATCCACTTTCCCCCAGATTTGTTTTATCCTCCCTTTTCTCTAGCGATCCACATTTCTCCCAAGAAAACAGCCCTGTTGTTGAGTTTCTGTGCATCTGTTCCAGTGAGACAGTTGAAGCAGGGCAGTATAAAGCAACAGATGCTTATGCTGGCACATGCCTAAATACCCAAGAAAACCCCGACTGCAGGGTGATAAATGGCACCGAGACGCGAATGTGTATCGCCTTTTCAGGGGATTAGACAAAAGTGAGCTGGAGGGATCTCCAAGCCATAATCTATTAAAAAGATTGATAACTTGTAACATGACATGACCCCCGCGTTCGTCTGTAGCTCCGTCCAGCGATTGTCACTGGTAAAAAAATATATTGGTTCGTACAGTATTTTTAATTAAGCTTTGTAATTAGGTCGATTCGTCACAGCCTCAATTAGCCCCCCCTTGGCAGCCGAGGATCGCGGCCGTGCGCGGAGCCCTTCCCGCAGCAGCCGGGCGCGCAGCGGGGCTGACGCTCTCCTCTTCTCTCTTGCAGTCCTGGTACCTGGGATAAAAGTCTCCGCTTCCCACCACGCACCGGACAGACCACCTGACCCCTTCCCACCTCTGTAACACGGAAGCAGCAGCATCGCAGCGCAGCGACTTCACATCGGCGGAAGGGGAGGCGAGCAGACACCGACAGCAAACTCGTACATGGAAATGGCAAACGTTATGGTTGAATGGCAAAGGCCGTAACTTTCTCGAGATTTTTTTTTTTTTTTTTTTTTTTAAAAAAAAAAAACAACTTAGGACTGTTGTAATTTCTCCTATGGTGCTGGAAATGGTTGGGCTTCATAACTTTTGAAGTGTTTCATTGGTAGTGTAAGCGTTAGGTGACACTGAGTAGAACTAGCCTCTGCTGCTGCTTACCAACTCGCTGTTGTAACACACTTTCCATATGGAGCCTAACTGTTTGACAGTATCCTCATCGATTTTTCCCATACAGGTGTGAGACTTCTTGAGAAATCATGAAACACACTTAAACTATAACTTTTGTAGTAGCTGAATTCTGCAATATATAACTTACCGGACAGACATAGAGCATGTTTTCCTGTAACATATCGGAAAAAAAAAAATGCAGGTTTTTTTTTTTTGTTGTTGTTGTTGTTGTTCTTGGATTGTTTTCTTTTTTGTTTTGTTTTGTTTTGTTTTGTTTTTTACAGTCGGCACTTAGATATGTAACACAAACCATAAGAGCATTGTCAACAATTATTTTCCACTCGATTGCAGAGCGATTTAAAACATCGAACTACTACTATTCACTTAAAAAAAAAAAAAAGAAAAAAAGAAAAAAAAAGTTTGAAATGCTGCACTTACATTGAAAAAAAAAAAAACATTTTTCAACAATTTTCAACAATTACACAAAAAATTCACGCAGAAATGGGGAAGTTGGTCTGTTTTGACAGAAACTGACAGGAATCAATCAAAACAATCGAATTTTGAATTGAGTAAAGTGCAATTTCATTGGATAGCTAAATATCTTTGTAAGATAGAGATTGTTGAAAATTCTATTTTTGTTTTCCAAGTCCTTCCACCCCGGGACTCTAAATTATTGGGGTAAAAAACAGCCTTGCAAGAAAAAGGGGAGCTATTTTTGCTTTTTATGTTTTTTATTGTTGAACTTGTATCCCTTTAAAACTGAAGGAAAATTTAAAAAAAAAAAAAAAAAAACAAATCTAATGGTGCTTTTACCACAATATGTTATCTACATTAAATGCTAATTAATCATTTTCTGTTATCAAAGCACATAACTAAAATTAAATCATAATATCTGTTAATTTTATAAGCTAAAAGTCACTATAATGGATTATGCCAATTCTGACAAATTTTACGTGTTTCCGGCAATATAGGGTTTATCAGTTCTCAAACACCTTTGGGAATAGTAGAGAACGGTCCAGAAATTAAAACACCTTCGTGTCCCTGAACTGGTGCATTTTCTGGACTGCAAATAAAACAATACAGAAACGAATGCTGATCGTACAACTTCTGCCAGTTCAAAGCGAGGGCACTTGCTGAAGAAGAAGAGAAAAAGAAAAAAGAAAAAAGAAAAAAGAAAAAAAAAAAAAAAAAAAAAAAAAAGTTTGGACCCCAAACGTCCTGTATCTTATGTACAAAAAAAAAGGAAAAAAAAAGAAAAAAAAAAAGAGTGCAAGTGATTTTTTCTATCAGACAGCGGAGCACCCCTTTGCTTCACATGCAACTTTAAGAAGGTTTCCTATACTATACATATATATACGTTCTGGTTGGCAAGTCCAGCTAATCAGAGAAAGTCTCTGCATGTTCTAGTGTTAGTAACTAATTTTTATATAGTTAATGTAGGGTAAAGTAGAGTGCATTAAGACACAATATTGTAATCCCTATTCCAGGCACTTGCCTTTAAACTATGTTTGTTCGACCCTTCAGAAGGGTTTCTACTACTGTCCTATACAATCAAGTAACTGAAATTCTTGGGAAGACACTTTGCTCCTCATCTTTTCCCTGAAACAATGTTTTGTTTTGTTTTCTTAATTTGCACGAAACAAACAAACAAAAAAAAAATTCCATATCAATGTGCCTTGCCCTGGATAGCGATTATTTGTGGAATTGTTGCACATGTTCCTATATTGAAAGGGGTTTTTCCCTAGTCAAGCATTTGGAGACACTTTTTGTAAATGTGACTTTTATGTCAGCCATTGTCAGTTTCAACATCTAGAATTAAATAGGATGTTAGTTGTTCCGCAGATAGGAGTAGTGTTTATTGTCCTGTATGGTCAGTGGCAGTGCTATTCTGAGATCTGTAGATGCTAGATTATCAGTATTTTTGGATGTTGCTGCATTTTACATTTTATTTGGAGTCTTCCTTTTGTTTTGTTTTGGGGTTTTTTTCGTGTGTTTTTTCTTTTTTTTTTTTTTTTTTTCCCAGATATATGAAAATATGCAATACCTGCTTATATCATGTAGAAAAGCTTAGCGATTATTAATTTTTCTTTTCTTTTTTTTTTTTTCTTTTTTTTTTATTTGACCAAAGTTGGTGCTGCACTTGACGCAGTGTGTTTTAGGTGTTTGTCTTTGTACTTTTGTGATTTTGAATGCACATGCAGGAAGGGCTCTTCTTAGAGAAGCAGTCAAACTGTGAAGCACTAAGCTGAACCCTGCTTCAAGCAATTTTTGTTTTACAACTGTTCCTTTCACAAGCAAGCCTTAAAAAAGAAAAAAAAACTTCCTTTTTCTTCAGATCCCACACCCATTTTTATTAGCAGACTGCAATCAATCCACATTCAATAAAAGTATATAATGCCCATTTTTATATGCACGTTTTTAAACTTCCAAGTTCTGAAAATTGTTTACTGGTTATTCTCTATTTAAGGAAAAAAAAAAAATAAAATGTTTTGGATTTTCATATGTGTCTGATAAGTGGTTGAGTAGTCATTTTGCTCTATTGTATTGTGTGATTGTTAGTATATGGTATCACATCCTCTAGCCAGCATCCTTTGCCTTCCCTATAGCACTTAGCTGGGCATTACTTTATTAAGACATATGTGCACTAAAAAAAAAAATAGCAGCTTTCAGTGCTTCACAGTGAAGGGAAAAAAGCCTAGACAAACATTTTGTCAGAACCTTGCTATGAGACAAGGTATTACCAGTAAATTGGTTGTACATACAATAAAATTGCACCCTTTTTTAAACAAAACAAACTAAGCAATAGTTTGGGCAGTTAGTTGTTTTTAGTGAGCATGTTGTAGTCATGGCTGCAAAGAGAGAGAATTAAACTGCCCACTCAGAAGATATGTAATTTGTATGTTGTATAGTTTTATTGATTACACTGATTTATTCTACCCTATTTTATAATGCAGGACTTTTGTAATGTTGTTTAAATGAGGAAAAATTTCTGTCAAATTAGCTTAGTGGAATTTCTGATTGTTCGTTATAAAGGCAGCGTTCATAGAATTGCTTTTTTTTTTTTTTTTTTTTTTTTTTTTTTTTTTTCCTTTGGGAACTGGATTTAAGTTAAAAACTTTCCCGTTTCCTTTTTTTGTATGTATTTAAATACAGTTATTTTTCTTCTCTCAATGGTATAGCATATTCCTATGCTTGAGAAGTATAGGCTACTGAAGAACCATTGTAAATGGACATTACAGGTATGCTGTATTTTTGAAGGTATTTTGTCATATTAAGTTGGATGACGCTAAAGTTAGGGAATTCTGAGCAGAATGGCGAGAAAAAAGAAAAAAAGAAAAAAAAGAAAAAAAAAAAACAAGAAAAAAAAAAAAGAAAAAGAGAAATGTTTTAAAGGCTTTAAAACATGAGCGAGGCGGCCAGGGGCCTCGGCCCACCGGGGTTGGGGAGCCATCCCCCTTTGTGCTCAGCCCGCTGCAGAGCCGCCATGCAGGTGCAGAGGCCGCGTGCGGGCGGCCCCTCGGCCCCGGGGATCCATCCGTGGGCTCTGGGGCACGCGGGGAAAGTTTTTCCCCCCCCCCCCTTCACCCCCCAGCCCCTCCCGGCCCCCCAGCCCCCCTCTCCCGTCTCCTTCTCTGCAGAAGTTGTCAGACGCACAAATCCTCTGCCCTGCATTCACCCACCCACCCACCCATCCAAATTGAAAGACCTAGAAATTGCTTAGCGCGAATTGACTTTGCCAGTTAATTCCTTTCTTTTTTTTTCCTCTTTTTGAACTAGGGCACTTGCTTTTATCATGCCGCACACCCCAGCGATGCCATTATTTATTCCTCTTCCTTTCTTAATGAAACCTTACGGGCTTCAAGTTAGGCAGCCATGGTACACTTTGTCTCTGCTGTGATCCCCCTAAATAGGGTCGCAGGGGAAGGAACCACCAAGTTCTCTGACTCCGCAGTATTCAGTCAGCCCACAGGAATATGCAAAATCCCTCTAACGTTGGTTTGGTTGTTTTTTTTGCTTTCTCTATTTCTCTTTGTTCCGTATATTTGCAGCTTTGTAGTAACAGTGTTATAAAATACTTACTGTACAAAAATACGAGAAAACCCAGATACATAGCCTAAAACAGTTTTTTTTTTTTCCTTGTGGTGAATTATTATTATTATTTTTTTTTTTTTAAGAATGTCAGTTGAATATCGTACTTCTTTGCATTGTGTCTCTGGAAATATCTTTTTTCTTTTTTTTTTCTTTTTTTTTTTTCTTTTTTTTTTTTTGGTAGAAGGCCTCCATCGAACAAAATTAAAACCATAACCGGCATGACAATGTAAGGAGAGCTTCAATGGCACCTAAACAATAACCAAACAACAAAACCAACCTCATGAGGTCTGTCGGAGGCAGGTCTTGTGAAGTTAACACTGCCTGCTAGGCAGGATTTTCATTAAATCAAGCTTACAATGCCAATTTTGTCTTGAAGTCAATGCATGTATTACTGTTTGACAGTAAACCCAGCTATGCCATCATCAAGTCCAAGGCTGCGCAATAGTCTAATTAGTATCGAGTACATTTTCCTTTTATTTTTTCCAATAAAAAAGCAGTGGGATGAAAATTGCTTTGATATATAGCAGGTAACATTGAAGCTATTCCATAGCACTTAACTGTAGTGAATACTGTGTCACCAATTCTGAAATCAATTTAATGTTTAATGCAAATCCATTACATGGTGCTATTACAGGCTGGCAAAATGATTTACAAAAATGTGACAACTTGGGCTCAATTCACTCTGCTTTCCAACAATGTAAATGCATAGCAGTGTTTATCTGCATGAAAACTATGCACTAATCTATCTGAAAAAAAAAAAAAAAAGAATATATCGACTTTGGTATCTACTTTCCGTTTACTTCGATCCTTGCCTTTTTGGTCATTGTTATAATGCCAGCTTTAGGACAGAAAGAATTATAAGAAAACCAGCATAATACCTGATATATTAAAATGTAGTGCCTGTGAAATCTGTATTATATTGCTCTTCTGAAGTAAGATTTTTCTACACCGGTAGCCTTCGCTGTCTGTCAGAACCTTCTGATATAGGTGATGTAAAATAACCGTACAATATTAATGCATGCTATTCCATAATGCTTAGTAGCTGTATGAATATTACTCAAAGTTATGTTAGTCTTTTTTTCTGACTTGGTTCTTGTCAGATAGGTTTAAAGATATTTCACTGAGAACGCAAATTCTGTCTTTTCTTGATTTGGGGTGTTTTCAGTATTTTGGAGGTATACATTTACTTAAATTCAGTATTACTTGTGTTTTGGGTTTTTTTTCTTTTTTTTTTCCTTTTTTTTTTCCTTTTTTTTTTTCTTTTTTTTTTTTTTTCTTTTTTTTTTCCTAGAGGGCAGGACATGGTGTTTGAGACCAGAAATCCGTGCCTGGTAAGATTTTTGTCTCAAAAAGCTACCCTAAGAATTGCAGAGCTTGCTCTGAAGAACATCCCATAAAGTTCAAATTGAAGGGACGGTCCTTTAAGCCCCCCACAAACGAGATGGAGCTCATCTCGCAGGAGATTTCTTAATGGGCAGCAGTTAACCAGGTACCCATGCTTGACCCTTCTTCACACCAGACTTCCTCATATTAGAAGAAAAACCCTTTAAAAAAAAAAAAAAAAAAAAAAAAAAAAAAAAAGAAAAAAAAGAAAAAAAAAAAAACCTCATGTGGTTGTTTAGTTTCATGCACAGTTGCAATATTTTTCTTCAAACAAACTCTGTACAAACTTTGGGCCCGATTCATAAAAGCTCAGTTGCTATTAACACGGGACTCTGGTGGGCTTTTCTTGTCCAAAATTGGGGCTCCCTCTCTCCCTAGCGCACTCCGGCCGGGCCTCCCCTGCAGCTCTCACTCCTCTCCCTCCCCTTCCCCTCTCCACCTCCCAGACTCCGAACAAAATCCATGGGAGTGGATGTGGAGACGGAGCCGAGAGCAGCGGGGCCCCGAAGCCGCGCTCTGGCCCTGGCGGGGTTCCGTCACTTCGTGGTACAACGCTATTCGATGGCAAGGGACATTTTGTCTGTACCAGAAAAATACGCTAGATTGCTACCTCTGAGCTCTAGAGAAAACCTTCGTAAAGGACAACACTTGTATACAATGTGAACTTTTGTACTTTGTACGCTTTTTTTTAGGGAAGACTATTTTCCACTTAGTTAATCTTCTATGCTCGAGCATGAACAAAAACAATTGTGTCAGTGAAATCCCTCCTTTTATCTGCATCCACAAATTAATATGAGGGGAAAAAACGAAGACGAGTTTCTAGATGGAGCACGGTAGGAAGCGTCCCCAGCTTAGCACCTGCCTCGCTGCTGTGGGCGGCCCTTGGGGAAAGGCTGAAGGATTCCTGGCTTTGGGAACGCCACCCAGGAGCAGTCCCCATTTGGGGCAGCTCCACGGTTTCCCCCATGGCAGAGCTCGGCCCCAGCCCCGGCCGCTTTCTGAGCCTGGTCCAGCCGAGTCCCTCGGTGTCACTTTTCAATCCAGGGCACTAAAATTTCCACTGGCCGCGGGAAAGATGTGCTGCAAATTCACTTGACACCCGTGTTAATACCATGTCGTGTTCATTTTTTTATGAGTCAGGCCCCTCGTGCCTCTAGTATACTTGTATTGACTCTCATAGTTACCATTTTAGTTTTACTGTGTTCTGTGAAAAAAATTGTAATTGGTTGAGAATCACTGTGGGCATCCATTCTTATTCAACTAAGTCTCCGCAGGTTTTTTGAGCTGGTGTGGATTAGTTTAACTCTTGTATTCAACCATTAGTGCTACCACCTTCTCACATTACAATACAATTACTGGAAGCAAGTACTGCATTTCCTATGCAACAAAAAAGGAAAATAAAAAATTGCTAATGCTACCAAGCCGTGTTGTTATTTCCTTCGCACAGGGCTCGGGCGCGGACGCGGGGCTGGTGCGTCTCCGTGCTGTGGGGGCCCCAAATCGCGGCTCTGGGTTCACACGGAACACATCGACGCTGAGCCTGGATCTGGCTGCACCTCCTCACAATTATCTGAGATTAATTCACTGTGCGTGTATCTCTAGGTGCAGTGCAGTGGGAGATGTCACCTGCTCCCAAAGCTCGGCTGTGTGGCCGCGCTCTGCCCATTGCGGCACCTCCCTGCAAGGCTTCTGTGGGTGTGTTGGGCAGAAAATGGTTTTCTTTACTGCACTTTGAAGCTGTCATGCATCACGTGGCAACTTTTCCTTAAAAGATGGGTGCAGAAGTTAACATTTGCAGAAAGTAATTTCTCTCATTTAAGCAATTCTGCCCATTCTCTGCTTAAAAGGCAGCGCTGGAGCTGATGGCCAGCTCTGCGAGAACAGGGGAAGGGGACAGTTGGGCACACAGCCCTGCCCTGGGCAGCTCTTCCATTCTCTTTTGGGGAAAATTAGTGCTTTCTTACTCTAGCAGCTCGCAGAGCACCAGTATTTCTTTTCTGACACTTCCACCTGATTTCAGTCTGG